CCGACCTCTTGAGCTCCGAGTTCTCAGCCCCAGCTCCTGCAGAACCTCTGCCAGATGTCTGGGTCCATGGTTAATGTCACTTACACTTGCAGGAGGGGTTGCGCCGGGTCAGACTCTGGCCCTGGATCCCCAAGAGGCAGAAGTGCTAGACCCTGGATTTAGCTTGAAAAATGCCAACCCCAATTCCCCTGCCCAACAGCTTCTGCACACATACAACCACATCCTCCCACACTCATCACAAGTGCACACGACGGACAGAACGTGAGCCCTGGGAGGGGCCACAGACACCCTCAGCCCTGTTCTTTCATTCCTAAGACACGGGGCCTGGTGAAGGACAGGGACCATGAGAATCCAAACCAAGCAACAGGGCAAAATGCTGTGGGCTTCTTCTCTTCCTGTGGCCACTCTAATGCATGCCAGGCACAGTTCTCTGCTTCAGTTCAGTGAAACCATCTGCCTTCTGATGAACCCGGGCCTGGAATTTGAAAACAGCTGCTTCCATCCCTGTGCTGGGTACATAATCAGCTCCAAACAGAGCCCCCACAGGCAGGAGTCAGTCAACAGCAGAGCAGGGAAGTCCGGAACCTTTCAATGAACTTTGTTCCCACTTTCCCAAGGCAGGGACATTCTCTACAAGTCTACAAGTGCTCCTGTCCTGTTTTCGCGTGATACATTCAGCCTTCACAGCTAAATTTTGCTTTCCCCACTCTGCAAAGAGATGTGAGTTCAAGAAATATTCTCCTGCTCTTTTAACTCTGTGAAGGAGAAGAGGGAGAGCAATCCACAGGACAGTGAAGTTCCACTGCTGACAGGGCCCATGGGCCCTGCTGCTACAGTGACAGCCTGCTTTTACACAGAACGTGCCATGTGCCAGGTGCTGTGCTGCACCCTTGACTTCTCCCAAGAGCCTCTTGAAATAAGCATGAAGACAGTGCTCAGTTGAAGGTGGAGAAATTCAGATGCAAAAGAACTGAAAGAACTTTTGCAGCAGAGCCTGTAACTGGGCAGTGTGTCCAGGGTCCAAACAGAGCTACCAAGGAGAAATCAACGAGTCTTTACTATCTAGGAAAGGAAGAGTCTGAACCCTAGTCAGGGCGGGGCAGGGCCACAGGGAGGTGATGTCAAATCACAAAACAGCTTGGGTTGGCTGGACCTTTGGAGGCCCCCAAGGTTTCAGGATCTCCTTCCTTCCCTGACGTGGGCACTCCTGCCCCAGTGAGGAGGCCCGTGAGTTTGTTCATCCTTCATGGGATGGGAGAGGTAGCGATTCTGGAAGCTACAGATGGAGCGCCAGATGGGAAGTGAAAACCTATCAGAGTTTCCTGGGATAAAACCATTCATCTGCAAAATTCATATGTTTTTGTGTGGGGCGACTTCACAAAAGCGACAGCAAGAGGAACCAGCAGTGCCTGATGCAGAAAGTGCCTGTGGCTGTGAGGGTGGCAGAGGGGAGGGCAGAACGATCGCGTAGGGAGGGCGTGTGCCTGATCCTGAGAGCAGGGAGCGGGAAGGGAGCAGCAGGCTAGGCCAGCAGCCACCATGTCACCTGGAGCAAGAAAGCCAAAAGAGCTGGAACTATGCTGCCTTTCTTCTGTGACACCCCCAGAACGAGGTGGCCACCTGGTCTGAGAGGATTTCAGGGACTCTGGAGTAGATTACCAGACACAACCTCCAACGTAGCAAACGGCTGACGTTTCTGGAGCATCTGCCACGTGCTCGTGTGGCCCACTGTTCCTCTGTCCCATCCAGTCACAGGGCCAACAGCAGGAGAGCTGCCAGTTAGTGGCAGAGCTTAGACTCCAACCCCGTGTAGTCTGAAGGGGGCCTCCGTGCCCTCTTTTTTGGGTGCTCTGCAAAGCCCGGACCCTAGGTTAAGCTAAGGCTTAGATGAAGGCTTCAACGTGCAGGCAACACGACACAGCGCCTGTAGGGGGCAGCAGTGCACACTCCTGCCTGGCTTTGTCATCTTGGCCGAGGGCCGCCCACTGCCTCAGGCTGACCTGAATGACCTCTGAGACCTCCATGGAGTCTGGAGGAGGAGGAGAATGAGGACCATGGCCTTAGCTCATGAGAACCAGGCACAGTAAGTTCCCGTCAAGTAGTCTTCCCTGACACTCTCTGCCGGAAGGTGGTCTAACCACCACAAGCTCAAGGGTCTGAACTGAGTCCTTCTGGGTTTGGAAGGTAATTGACACTACTGGTTTTCCAAGAGGCAAATTTCAAGCAAAAAGAGGACTAACTTTGGAACCAGGCAAAACTGATCTAATCCCTGTTCTGCCACGTATACATCACATGGCCTTGGGATGCAATTTGTCCATCAGTAAAACAGGTTTTCTGTGAAAGCTGAAAAAGTTCCAGCCACACTGGCTGCTGCACACAGCATTTTGGGGTCATTTCTGCTCTCAGTCCTTTCCCTGAAGTTTGAGAGACAATGTTCTGGCTCCTTCTTGCCACTTACCTCTCTAAATGACCATTTGCTTGTCACTTTGCCTCATTCTTTTGTTTATTATAATTCATCCCTTTAAAAAAATTTCTCAAGTGCAATAAGCTTGTCTCTCACCTATCTTAGACCCAGACCATTCCCTCTATCAGAAAAGACGGCTTTCAACTGGAGGCAATTTTGGCAGCCAGGGGGACTGCGCAATGTTTAGAGATACACTGGGTAGGGTTGGCATCAAGCAGGCAGCAGGCAGGGATGCTGCTAAACACCCTACAAGGCACACAACAGCTCACAACCGTGAATTACCCAGCTCCAAAAGTCAGCAGTGCCATGGCTGGGAAACCCTGCTATAGAATGATCTCTTCCACGTTTTTCCCACCAGTCAATCCTTTCTTCTCTGTGGGTCTCAACTCAAGGTTGACTATTCCAAGGCCTTCTGATCTGTTCATGTCCCTCCAGTTTTTCTCCAATAATATGCCTTCCTTTCTTTCTAGTCCTTGTCTTGCCTGGTGTCTCCCATGCACAGCTGTCTCATGCTCTTTCTGACTAGGATATGGGCTCTGTGAGACAGGAAGGAAGTACAGCTGCTTTTGTTCACTAAGTGCCCAAATACTGCATAGCACAATAGTTGTTCAATAAATGTTTGCTGAATAGCTAAATAGCCATGGTAAGCAATGTTTGTAAAACAATCCCTTTTATCCCTCTTACACTATGGACAGAGGGAAACAAGCATCTTTCTAGGACCTGCCATTTTTCCTAGGTTCCGCGAGCCAGACTGTACCTTGTCTGAAGTGACCAGAGATCATGTCTCCCCTTAAACTCCTGAAAGGACCAGAGTCTCCCAGCAGATGACCAGGATGCAGAAAGGCTCCAGGAACCACACTATGAAGGAGAAAGGAGCCATTTCCAGCATTGCAGAGAGGCCTTCCTTCATGCTCGCACCTTATTTGGACCTTGCTTGACTCAAAACTCAAACTCTTGGGGATCGGAGACTTGGCTATCTTAGAGCATCGTGAACACCCACTGACACAACAGATGTGACCATTGTAGCGGTGTTATGCTGAGAGAGACCTTCTGTGAGATACATCCTCTGAAATATTTACAGATCGGGTTGTATGATGTCTCGAATCTGTTCAACAGCAATCCAGGGGAAGAGGGTAGGAGGGTTAGTGGCCACAAGACTGGACAGAAACTGACCGTAGGTGCGACTGGGTGATAAGCGTGAATGCTTGCTACCTTTGCACATGTTTGGAAAATTCCCCTAAGGAGAGCTTTTTAAAGACACTTCTGTCTCACTTTCCTGGGAATGCTACACTACACTCAGTGCTCTCATGCTATCCGGGAGAGAATCCCCCCTCTCCTCCATTTCCTCTGTAGCCTGCTCAACAATGCAAAGGAGAACACATAGTCTAACAATGAGTCGCCTCTCTGACAGAGAGTAGAGTTCATTTTCTTGGGTTTTTATTTCTTTTCTGGAAGACCTCAAGAGGGATTTTCTCTGCTTAAGGTCCCCTTTAGAGAGCAAGTCAATGTCCCTGCCTTTCCTGATGGCACCCCTAGGTTCTCACACCCTCAGGGCTGCTGGCCGTATCCCCAGCTCTGGACAGCGGTAACCACACAGGCAGTGGACCCAGAGTGTGCAGATCTTCCAAAGAAAGCCAGGAATCTCTCATTTTACATGAAATCCCCCAATTTCACAAAGTGGGCAATATGTTCATTTGGTACAACTTGACAAAGGCCAAACTAACACAACACGGGCCTCAAAGAGCCCAAAGATGCGCATTTGTGGTCCTGGCCTGTACTCTTACAACCAAGCTCCCTTCTTCTCTCTCTTCCCTTTGAGTTTCACACCAAGGTCAGATCTTGTCTGTTCTCCACTCAAAACACACCAGCAGCCTCCATCTTGTTTGAAGTAACAGAAAATTCTAGATCCCATGATCTGGCTCCAATTTACTCTCTGATCTTGCTACCTTGCTCCTTATCTTACTATGCTGTAGACACTGAGACTTAATACTCCAGTTATTTATTATGTCTGTTGTTTCATTTCCTAGGAGTTTCAGTGTCTCTCGTGCACTGGTGTATACTCAAGCACAGCTGGAGAACACTGTGCTCAATAAATATCTGCTGAGCAAGCAGGTGGGTGGGTGGATAGATGGATGGATGGACAGACTGGTGGATTGGTGCATGGATGGATTGGTGGATTGGTGGATGGATGGATGGATTGGTGGATGGACGGATGGGTGGATTGGTGGATGGATGGATGGATGGATAGATTGGTGGATCGGTGGATGGATGGATTGATGGATGGATGGATGGACTGTGAATGCATGGATGGACAGATGGATGGACACATGAGTGTTTCTCAGGACTAGTCTGGACATAATGCTGGAAAATCTCCTGGAGACAGTATGTAAGCCCTCTCTGGTGTCTCAATGAGGCAGAATGCTTCTCTGGACAGAAAGCCAACTACCTGTACCTTCTGCTGTCCCAGTTGTGACAATGAAAGTAAGCAGAAACAGGATATAGGGCCAGGCTGGCCTGGGGCCAGTGGCCACCTTACCTGATGGGATAGTCTGCAGCACTGAGGTTGATGAAAAAGTCCCAGGGCCAATCAGGCATCTCTAGGAGGTCCCGCATGCTCTGCAGGTAGGTGGTCAGGAGGCTGGCTCCCCCCCAGATGGTGGCCATCCTCCACGGGGTGACGCGGACATTGCTGTACTGCCTGGCAAACTGGAGCACTTGACGGTGCAGGTAATTGGAGCGCTTTTCCCAGGAGAGAAAGGGTGACATTCAGCAACCCGGAAAACATCAGACACCAGACCACCCTCAGCCCTTTGTTTTCTCTGTCCCTTCAATTCCAGCACACAGAGTGCCTGAATGTGGTGACTTTGCCAAATTACTGGTTCTGGACTGGGCATCTTTCCACATCACTATTCAAACTTATTCTCTTTTGAGGTTTTACATTAGATGTTTGAAATGCAGATTCCTGGGCCCCACCTCTCCACTGATAGCTTGGGCTTGAGGAGCCTGGAACTCTGCATTTTTGTACATAACTGGTGCATATAGTCTAAGGATAAGAAGCTAGGAAATATGTATCCACCTAAGCCTGACTGAGTTATCTGGGAGTTGCATTTCTGTGTTCTGTCCTTCCTCCCCAGAGCCCCTCCGTGACCCCCACAGGCCTTCTAGAAGCAGATCTTTTTCATGAAACATTCCCTTTTGCCTTCTTTACTAAAGATATGATCATGTATCTTTAGTAAAGATATAATCAGCTGAACAAAAGAAAAACTATGGAATAGGGCAGTACAGGGGTTAGAAAGCTGGCTGCAGGTGTTTGCTTCTGTGACTGTTTTCACACTGCCTAGACAGTGCTGAGTAGCAGTGACAGAACACATGGCTAGCAGAAGCTAAATTATTGACTATCTGGACTTCGGTAGAAAAAAATCAGAACCGCTCCTGGACAGCTAGTTCTACAAAGCCTATGAGAGGCAGACAGAGGGCACCAGAAAGTGAGGAAAAGAAGAGGGCCAGGGATTTAGCTTAGTGGTTCCACCGCCTGCCTCACAAAGGCAAGGACCTGAGTTCAATCCCTGTTACAAAAAAAAAAAAAGAAGAAGAAGAAAGACAGAACAGCTAAAAAGGAAAAATAAGCTTTGCAGAGAGGGTGACTAAGGGCTAACTAGGGAAGAGTATATTTCAAAGAAGACTCGGAGAGGACTGTGAATGATCACACCACAAAGAAATCGTAAACTTTTAAGGCAATGGTTGTGCTGATTACCTTGAACCAATCAGTACACTGTGTATACATGGATCAAAATATAATATTGAGCCCCATAAAGATGTACCATTATCATTACACATCAAGAAAGAACAAAAAGGAAAAGAATGTTGCAGAGAAAGTCAAAGCAGGAATCGTTGAAAGTCACTCACACACACACACACAGAGCACTTTAAGATCACACGCCCTTATACATCTCAGCCTTAGCCTGGACTTACGTCATGGGGCAAGGGGGAATCAGAGAGGGACAGACAGACTGTAGAGGAAGCCCAGCACGGGTGATGGCAGGCCGCTCCTCACCTCATCCACGTGGATGTAGTAGAAGTGGTCTCTGTGGTAGATGGCCTTGAACATGCGCTGCAGCTGCCGAGAGGCACGGCCGTGGACCACCAGGACGAAGGCGATTCGGACCGGGTTGGCCGGCAGGTACTCCACGGAGTCCTCGTCCCACTGAACATTCTTGCTGGCTTTGCCTGGGGGAACCCGAGACCACAGAGGTGAGGGTGAAGCTGGGCTGTCCTCTGGGGAGTGGGGAGTTTCTCTGACATCTCCCTCGATGGACTGTCTGAGGGGCGCAGCAACCAGACGGGTCTGAGCTGGACTCTATCCTAGACCCCACCCTAGACAGCCCAGCGTCCATCCCCAGGGAGCTTGTACAGGCTGGTGGGGACACGTGTGTGCCATCTATGAAAGTGTGGAGGAGAGAACTATGGGAGATGGGGCTCTGAACCCCAGAGGAAGCTGCCGTTAACTCTGAGTTAGGAAACCTCAGAAACACATTTCGTCTGTCCAGAGTCCATTCGCCCTTCTCCTCCTAGCAGCATCCACTATCTTTGTTTGCAGCTTGCTTTAAGTGACGATGAGGACGGACGACGTGGGTCTGCCCTTTTGGCTCAGTGTAAGCGTACAGCACGGTGTTGGTAACTAGAAACACCTCATCACACATCAGATCTCTGGAGCTTACACACGTGGAACTTAATCATCAACACTCTCTGAGCCACCCCCATGCCTGGCCCACAGGGAGGGGACGATCGACTTGATGAATCCAGGGTGGTCCCGTGGCTCGGGATTGCCCATCAGAGTGCTGCATGGTCCTGGCCACAGTACTGCCCCCATGGATGCGTGACTCAACCATCCAAATTAGCCAATGAGAGACTCCATACTTCTGTTGGAACTATTCAGTAAGGAGGTTCTCTTTCTGCTGGATTTCAGACTGGGAGATCCCAAGAGCCTCTTTGTTCCCACATGGAGAGAAGCTGCAAGAAGAAAACCCACCCAGAGGAAGCACTGCGGAGTGCCGGTGAATCCTGACAACTGGCCCTGAGCTCCTGGATCAGCCACCGTCACAGATCACCTTATGCCATTTCTCTTTTAAAGCCAGATTCTATACCAGATCCACCAGGATAAATGGTTTAATACACCTTTTATCCTGAAATCAGCCTCAAGAATGACTCCTCTCCTCCTTGTCTTTGCAAATCCTCCAGGGGCAATGGCTCAGGGATAAACAGCTTCCTGCTTTAGTGTGTCACAATTCCAGCTCAAAATCTCCTGGCTTTCATAAGTTCAGTTTCCTTCAGGCCTAACCACATTTCTTCTGGGGTCTAGATTCATGGGAACTGGAATACTGTCAGGGTATTCCTTCCAGGCGTCCCAGGGTATCAACTGGGAACACTGAGAATGCAGACCCTTTAGCCTGGCAGCGAGGCGCCCAGGAGCCTGTCCACTGCCATCGCAAAGCTGAATGGCTGGCAAATGAACAAGACTCTTTCACTGGTCCAGAGGACAGCATGACATTAACGTAGGTAATGTCCAAAGCACACCACACAGCTTCCGTGGCCTGAGTGGTGTGAGTCCTCGGACCTCTGACCCCCAACCGGCCTCACTTCCTACCTGGCCATGTGCCTTCTTGCTTTTCCTTAAACAAGTCTTACCCTGCCTCGGGACATTTTCATGGGCTATTCCTGCTATCTGATCTACCCACTCCCCAGATCTCTGCATGGCTGCATCTTTTTGTCACCAGTTCATAGCCTGGAAAAGGAACAACTGTCCCCATCCTCCACTTCTTCCACCCACCCTGTTTCAGTTTTCTGCACAGCACTGAACACCATCTGAAATTGTTTATCTGTTCATTGTCTGAATGCTCCACTAGAGCATAAGCTCCAAGAGATGAGGGACTATTTCAGGCTTGTTTACCAATGCATATGCAACATCAGAACAGTATCTGGCACACATCTGGTTCTTGACGGAAAAGAAGTTACCGAGGGTACGCACTGGCTCAGTACAATCCTAGCATCTTCTCTTCCCTTGATATTCATTATCTTGCTAATCCCTTCTATCAGTCCTGCAAGGTATTGCTATTTTCCCATTTTTCAAATGAGGATGTCACCGTTTGGAGAAGCCATGAGATTTGTTCAAGGTCACACTGTTTTAATTAGTTAAACTGCGATTCACACACAGCAGGTCTTATTCCAAAGAGCATACCCTTAACCATTAACATAACCCAAATCACTGTAAGCAGAACTCGGAAGGAGTTTACCACACTGATGAATATTAGTGGAACACTTTGTAATACTTACTGCAGGCAAGTAGGCATGTGGTTGAAGACTGTCATAGGTATTGAAGGGGGATTTCTGTATTTGATGAGAGGCTAACTCTGGGAGTCCAATAAAATTACCTCCATCCACATCTCACTATACACCCATCCATCCATTTATTCATCCGTGCATCCATTCACCCATCCATCCACTTAGCCAAATCCAAGTACCCATCCACTCTATCAGAGCAAACCATCCAACTATCCATGAAACAACCTATTATGACAAACGTCACCCATCTACTCAAAGCTTATAAGATCAACTCTTGCTGTAACCTTAAGCCATGGATGTCTCCGGCCACAGCTACTGAGTGAGTGAGGGAGGGAGGGAAGGCATCCAGAGAAAGAGCAGTGGCTCTGATCCAGAGGTGCGGATGCTCCCTATGCATCAGCACTGGGATAGGGCTCTGCACCCGTCATTATTTGGCCCTGGGAAGAATGTGTTATCATCCTTTAAGGCCCAGAGAGGCTGACATGGTTCCCAGGTCACATAGTAAGACAGGGGTGGAAGAAGAAGCCAAGTACCACCAAGTCCAAAGCCACTCTATTTCCAGTTGCCTTCTACTGAAATGGAGAGTTAGGAGCCAGACCTGGAATGAGGACTCTGCATGGGTCATTGATGAGATATGGACATTGATATGGAGAAAGGCCATTCACAACTTCTCATGAGGGTCTTAGAGAGTGGAGTAGCTTCACAGACAGAGACCCGGATGTTTTTCCTTTGAAGAAAGAGAAAGCAGGCTGGGAAGTCAAAGACAATCACGCCAGCAAAACAGCTTCTTTGGTTTGCACAGAGTCATCCTTGGGTCAAAGAGCTGGTACAGGAAGCTGAAAAGAAAGTGGGGAGGAAAACCCCAGAGTTCTTCTGCACTGCAGCTGTTGTGGGAAGGGCGTGGGTGGGAAAGAGCAAGAGCATCTTCAAAGAGGAGAAACACGCCGAGGGCCTAACAGATGAGAAAGAGAGGTCGAGGAAAAAGCAAGGCAGGAGAAGAAAGACTAAGCATTTATGGAGGCCTTTGTCTGTGCACAACTCTGTTTGCTCTGGTCCCAAGCACTGTGCAAGAGAACTGCTATCTTCCGACAGATGGAGGGAGGAAGCTGAGGCCCAGGAGGCCCCGGGGAAGTAACTGAGCTAAAAGTGGGGTGAGTCTGTGATGCCAAAATCCTGTCACTGTCACTCTGCTCCTTCAAACAGTCCTCGTTCTACACAGAGGAAAATTTGTTCCTAGAAGCACATCAGCTGCAGGACAGACAGCAATGCCATGAGGTCAGAGGTATTCAGATCCTTACTGACATGGGACTCTTGGAAAGGCTGAAACCCTAACACTGCCGAGCTAAGAAAGAACCACAGATTTAACAGTGTAATCAGATTCTCATGGCACAAAACAGAAAATAAGTGGGAAAATCAGAGTGATGAGAGGCAGCGAGAGAAGCTGACTTCAGATGAATGTTAAAAAGCTAGGTTTATGGGGGAGAATAGCAAGCACGTTTTGCCGTGCGGGTGTGAAGCCTGGGATGAGGTTGTGGTGAGAAACTCTACTGAGGTTCTCTTATGAGTTCTTATGAGGCTGTGCCTCATAAGCCTCTTAGTTCAGCCCTATTTTCCAGTATTGTTGCAGGTCAAATAAAGACTACTTAATCCTGGGGATGCAAGGAGATGGTGGAGACAAAGGTGCTTTGGAAGGGTCAGTCCCTTCTTATCTGTACTTTCACTTTTTGAGGTTTCAGATACCCATAAACACACTTCATACGTTTTAAATAACTTCTGTCACAGTACTGTTATAATTATTTTATCATTTGTTGTTTTAATCTCTTGCTATGCCTAATTTATAAATTACATATTATCACAGGTGTGTGCACATAGGAAAAAAACAGTTAAACGCTGGCTCTTCCTGTGTGTGGGTTTTTTAACTGTGGATCGAAACAATGGTGGGTCGAAAATATTTTTTTAAAAATTGCACCTGTACTGAAGATGTGCACACATTTTTTCTTGTCGTTATTTTCTAAACTAGAAAGTATAATCTCTATTAGGATTTATTCTGGATTAGGTTTTAACAGTAACGCAGAGATGATTCAAAGTCTACGGGAAGATGGTGTGTAGATTATGTGCACTTACGACACCATGTTATAGGATGGACTTCAGCATCCACAGACAGGGGGAGAATAGTAAACCCAGGGTGTGGTACTCACTATCTGTGGTTTCAGGCATCCAATTGGTGTGTTGGGATCCATGCCTGGGGGATAAGGGAGACTGATACACAAACATGACATCAGAGATGACCGCAGTCGTGCTGCCTTGTGTGAATATGCTCTGGGAGGAGAAGCCAGGGGCAAAGGTTTAGAGGGTTGTCTCTGGTCAGCAGACCATGAACCTTAGACTATTCATGCAATCGCTACCAGCCTGTAAATGGACATGTACAAGGGATGATGAAAAGCTATGGTGAGCACTTAATTTTTTAAAAGCATCATTATAGGGAAAGACACATTGCCACGAACCCTTTCAAAACACACCCCTTCCCTTCAAACAAACATCTCATCGTTCTCACTACTTTCTGAAACCGTTCTGCAGGTCCTCTTTCACGGGCGTCTTTAAAAGCATATTTCATCCTCTTTCGCTAGCGTATTTATCAAAAATACAGGGAATGCTGTTGCCGAGTGCCACCCACCAGAGGCAGGCTTGTAAAAATACTATGGTACGTTCTCATTAACTGGATCTGGCACTGTGCAGTTTCGGGATTTTCCCCCAAAGTCAAATGCGCGTGAAAGGTAAATATTTTGAAGTGATCCAAAGCATCAAGGCAGCCACCACAGGGCAACTAAACACACCCAAGATAGGGTACTGCCAGAACTGTTTCAGAAAGAGTTAAGAACGATGGGGTA